AATGTCAGATTTTACCATAAGGTGTGAACTAAGGCATCTCTATTTGTTTCTAGTAGTTTATTTTTTGCTTTTTATCATGTTCTAGTTTTGTTGCACATCCTATGACCAGGTGGGCTTGACTGAATGTGGGGCTGTATGAGTTGTAGCTTGATGTACATAGGCAAAGCTATTACCTACCAGTTTATATTCTTAGTTTGAATAGCATCTTTGGATTTTGCCAGCTTTTGGAATCTGATTGTTTAAAATGTGATTTTCTCAGGAGTCATTGGAGCCTCTTGATCTTCTGCCACTTTGGCGAGAGTATGCAATCAAAAACAAGGACACCATGCATGTTGCTACTGGATTCACTGGAAATGGCTGACCCTAGGAGGCTTGAACCAGACATAAGAAAGTATGTTTTCCTTTTGTAAACAAATTGAATAAATAATTTGACTTGTAGAATGACTGACTGTGGTGTAGTTGTTTTCACTTTTCAGATTTGTATTGGATGTTTATAGAGCTGAAGGCAGGCCTGAGAACAAAGAGATGATTCGACGAATTCCTTTGTTGGTTCCTAAGGTGATCCTAAGATAAGCTCTAGATGACCTTTTAATCATCATTTTTTCTTTTCACCTATTTATTTTCCAGGTACCACAGCAAAGAGATGGTGAAGAATGTGGTAATTTTGTTCTTTACTACATGAATTTGTTTTTGGAAGGTGCTCCAGAGAACTTCAGCATCGAGGGCTACCCGTACTTTGTAAGTTTATCCTCGTCCATCACGTATATTTCTCTAGATTACATAAGTGGTGATCAGGCACTAACTCTCTTGATATTCCAGATGAAAAAAGATTGGTTTGATCCTAAAGGCTTGGATCACTTTTGTGAGAGGCTCAAGTCATTTGGAAAATAATATTTCCACTAGTTTTGGCGGATTGAACTCTCTGGAAAGTGATGTCCACTGCCAAGAAGTCATCCTCCATTGAGTACCTTTTTCTTTTCCAGGTGTGATTTTTTACTGGAGTCTGCTTTAGGTGCCTAGCAGAAGTCCATAGGAACTGGTCAGCCTGGAAAAAGGAAGGCAGACAGGTTCCTGTTTTGTGAATACTAACTGCAGAACGTAGGCAAAGCTTCCAAGCCTGTATATAGCTAGGACGGACCATATTCTATGGGTATCATGTCTAACGCAATATCTAAACCAAGCAGTTAGTCTAAGTCATGGTTAGAGTATGTATGTATATTCACTCTGGTCAAATAGACAGGTGGATTTATGAAATATGTGAGTTATTTCTCTCTTACTTCTCAAAAAATTAAACCTTTTACAGGGAAGAATTTGCCTTGTTTTCTTTGATCTTACGTTTTTTACGTATATAAATTATATAAATTTTATTCTCATTGAGCGAGATGTGATTAGCGAGTGCTGAAAAACCTGATTTAAGAGAGATATAGTTCTAGAGCATTTGTATATTTTTTATTTTAAGTTAGAAGTGTTTGGAAACGGCAGAAAGGGCATGTTAGTACACATAATTTTTGAGTTACTTGAAATTTATTCTGTTTTTTTTTAAGATTTTTAACTCACATATTTTAATATTAAAATAAATTAACTCGTATACTTTTTAATTAAAATAAATCAGTTTAAATTTAATAGATAATATCATATTATGTCATATTTTTATGAAATTTATTTCAAACCTGTTATATTATGAAATAAATCAACTCATATTTTTTTAATTATTTGAAATTTATCTCTTTATTTATTTTTTTATTTTTTTAACTTTTCAACTCATGTATTTTCATGTTGAAATAAGTCAATTGACATATTTTTCTATTAAAATAAATTAGCCTAAATTTAATAGATGACATCATGTTATATCATATTTTTGTGAAATCTATTTAAGACCCTTTATGTCATGTTTTGGCATGTATGGATCGGATTTTTTGTGAGATGAATTATTTTTAATCTTAGTTAGACATGTTGATGATATGACAATAAAAATGTATTATTTTAATCTCCTTATTCAATAACAAAAATACCCTTCTATTCTCATTCAAGATTATTTTTTGAGACTTAGGGTTAGGTTTCATCATCTTTGCTGCCATCTCCACAAGCCCTAAATCTCTTTCTTTAAAATCCTTAGAAATAGGTACGATAGCATTTAGTGAAGGTCACACTAAGGCTCTAAATTATGCCTTTTTAGTCGCTAAATCCTTTAAAAGGTGCCGAGTCGAAGCCTAACCCAACTTAAATCTCATTAAGAGCTTGCACATGCTTGTCGCAATCTATTGCAGCTTGGGGGGGTTCAACAAAGGCTGTGCCACCTAACATCAATCAAAGTCAAATTTTAGTTAAAATGATTGTGAATTACATGAAGAAGATGCCATTAGAAAGTTATAAGCACACCTGAAACTTTAGGTCCAAAATTTCTAATTTAAAAATAAAGAATAAAAGTGTATTTTTTTTATTAAATAAAGAGATTAAAAGAATGCATTTTTATTGCTATATTAATATATTATCAACATATGTCTAGTTTGGATGAAAAATAATCTATATTACAAAAAATTAGACCCACAAGTGCCAAATTATCAAGACATAATAGATTTGAAATAGATTTCATAGAAGTTTGGGTTGATTTATTTTAATCAAAGAGCATGTGGGTTGAAAATTTTTTTTTTTTAAAGTAGGGGAATGAATTTCAAGTAAATTGAAAAGTATCTACTTTAATTTATTTCATAATTTGAAATGGATTTCATGAAAATATGATATCACATGATATTATATGTTAAATTTGAATTGATTTATTCCAATAAAAAAAGTACATAGGTTAATTTATTTTAATGTGAAAGTAAGTAAATTAAAAAAATTTTTAAAACAAATGAGAGGGTAAATTTCAAATAACTTAAAAAGTAAGGGGACTATCATTCCCATTTTGCTATTTTGAAACCCGTGTTCTTTAAATTGACCAGGGGTCTTTTAGTGGAGCTTCTTAGGAAATTTGTCTTTTTAAGTAAATTCTTATATAACAAATCTCAACTATTTTTACTCTCTTTTCTAGAAGACTCTTTTTGTTCGAAAAAAATAATAGACGGTTTTTTGTTTTATTTAAATTATTTAAAAATTAAGGATTTAGAAATAATTTTTTATTTTTATGTATTTTATTTTTTTAAAAATTAAAGTAAAATAATTTTTTATAATAAGATGAATAATTGGAATTAAAAGATAATTATGAAGTTAAAGTTAAAAAAAAATATCTCCTTTAAAAAATAAAAAATATAATTATTATTTTAAAATAAATTTTAAATAAAAAATATTTATTATTAATGTTTGTCCAATTTAGGCAACATTTGGTATTGCGGTTTTAGGATAATGATTAACAATTTTGCCTAAACCATTAAACATAAGTATATGGTAAATTTATATATTTCAAAATCGTTAGAAATAAAGTATTTGTTAAAAATTTTTATTTAGCGATTTGGGATTAGCAAATAACAATTAGGGTCCAAATCATTAGGAATTGAAAAAAAGTTAGTTTAGGTAACTTTTTATATCAAA